TATAAATTGAATGTACTAAAAACTAAGAGGTCAAGTCACGGCAAGACCTGTCAAAGAATAAAAAAAAAAAAAAAAAATTAAATTAAATTAAATATAAAAATATGTATATAAAATAAATAACTATTTAAATATAAATTAAATAATGAAAAATAAAATGTAAAATAAATATAAACCTATGTAAAATAAAATAAAATAATTAAAAAATACCGTAGTTAAAATAAAATAAATAAATGCAAATAAAATATAAAATAAAATAAATATAAAACTGTGTAAAATAAAATAAAATAATTAAAATACCATAGTTAAAAATAAATTAAATAAAAACATGTAAAATAAATTAAAATAAATTAGATATAAACCATGTAAAATAAATAGAAAATAAGTAATATAAATATAAAAATATGCAAAATAAATTAAATTAAATTATGTACAATAAATTAATTTAAATTAAAACGTAATAAGTTAAATTAAACTATACGTAATAAAATAATTAAATATATTAAAATAAATTAAATTAATATATTAAATTAAACTAAATTACATTATATTAAATTAATTTATATACAATAAATTAATTTAAATTAAGTCGTAATAAGTTAAGTTAAACTATATGTAATAAAATAATTAAATATATTAAAATAAATTAAATTGGAGTTAGAGTCCCGTAGCTAGTGGTCTAGGCACCTAATCCTCTACAGATGAGGTCGGTGGTTCAATTATAGCTAGTGGTAATTAATTTAATTAATTATCTCTGTAATCTTCGGGGGCTTTTGAATGCGAAACCCTGTAGTAGTAAGACTATATGAAGTACATATTTGGCCGATAAAGAATTCTTGGAAGGAGTCCCGAGCTATGGAGAAGATCGGGCACTATGTGTAACATGAGTTACAGAAGATAATATTGCAAAAGGCTGTGTGTGTGAATCCATGATTGGCAAGGTAGCACTAACAACCCTAAGGCGGCATTGGGATCTTGATTGGGAGGACGGCTATATGCAATATATCCAGAAGTGGTGAGAGAAGCAGTGAACATAGTAAGGGGCTGTGGTAAGAGAATGGCTTTACCAAATATAGAATATTTCTAGCACAAGGAAACAAGAAAAACCGGTCAAAAGAAATCTCGAAGCATAGAAGCAAGCGCTCCGGTGGTATAAAAATAAAGTCGGCTAGTGAGTAATGTGTCGCACAACCTATATGGGAGTCATGGAAGCATGATAAAACATAACAGAAGCGCAGGTCCCAGATTACTGACTTGTGATAGTAATTAAATAAGGTACTTAACTCCGTTCTAAAGATCTAGACTTCTGTAACACCATACCGATAGGAAGTACTATAAATGGAGCAGTAGCCTAATTTGGTAGTGTACGACGTGAATACCTGGAACTATGCGAATAGCTCTTCTAATGGCGGCAGCAGGTGGCTTGAGATATGGGTCTTCGAACAGCGACAGCACCTAGCTTGAGATACGGATTAGGAACTAAAGTAACATCTCGAGGGACACCAAACTGGAAGCACGAAGAGCGCCCACTCCTAGGACACCAATTTGGAAGTTATACAAGAAACAAATTAGAAGTAATGTGATAAGTGTTAAGAGGTGGATTATAACTAGTAGACGTTGTACAGTAGTATATATAGCAGGGTATATACGAATTAGTAAATACATTAAGGTTCTGAGTTAGGTTGGAATTTAGAGTGCTTCTTGATAGAAATACCTGAGAATGTCCATCTCACATATGAGATAGTGCAAATAGTTACATCTGGGCGCTATATAGGGTAGCCGGGTGAGGTCATAACGACTACTTAGATAGGTTAAAAGTATATGTAAATATATATAATGTTCGCTTAAATAAGTAATAAAGTTAATGACAAAATCATCAAAGTGGAAGAAAAAAAAAAAATAAAAAATAAATACTAAATAAATAAATATAACTAATACAATTTATAAAATATAATCTATACTACACTATGCTATCGTTATATTGTGTTACAATCTACTTTGTAACAATAATACTTACTACTAGTTATTTGTATTATATTTCTACTGTATTTTTTTATAGTTTTAATACAGTATATAAAAAATTTACTACAGTGGGCATCACCTAAAGCCAACAAATTTTATATATAGATGCCAATTTTTTTAGCTGCGATGTAACATGATTAACCAATAAAAATGCAAAAAAGTTAATATAAATTTAAATTTTATTAATAAATTTTAAAATTTTGTTAATAAATTTAAATTTTGTTATGTTTTTTTATACTGTATATAAACGCCAAATTTTTAATTATATATAACTTTAAATTGATATAAACATCTTAAAATAAAAGATACTACGTAAAACTTTTTTTTATAAATTTGATAGTTTAACCAAAAAGCTATTAAATGTATAAAAATTTTTTTTAGTTTAATTTATTTTAAAAAAATTATAAAACTTCAAAATTTTATAGTTAAAGGTTGATGGCTTTTCATGGTAGCAACTGTATTAAAAAGAATATATATACAGTATATAATATTATTGTATAATATTTTTTTTTTTTTGAATGTTCACCGGTAATGACCTAAGAATTTTTAGGGTTAGAGTGCAGTTTTAAAATAAAGAAAAAGGGTCTTATATAACATAATGTAGATTAGATATAAGTCCCGATTTCAGTTTTCATGAGGTTTTCGGGGTCCTGAACATTTTTACTTAGAAATCCGCACGTTTTTGAGATATAACACCCCCCGGTGAGAGTTAAAATTTTAAATACATATATATGTATTTGAAAAAAAAGAATTATTACACAGTGTATCTTGAAAGAGGTTACTTTTGGTCATTTATTAAATAATACTGTAAGTCGTCTCAATTTTTAGCAGTACCGGCAGAAATCTGATTGTCACATATCGCGAAATTTGTTGGGGTAGTTTGATTGATTACTAAGCTTATTATTATACTTGTTATAAAATTTTTGTAACTGCTTAGCCGGTTTTTGGGATACGTACGTACGTATAGCGGCTATGGTGTTAACCAGTGTTTTTTTTTTAAATGGTGAAATCTTATCCGATTGGTGAACAATATCGTTAAAAAAAGTAGAGTTGTGTTACACCAGCGTTAAAATCCTTAACCTTTTATAAATTTACTGTGCTATTTATATAATTCATTTAGCCATTATAAATTGTTTTTTCTCTTATCTTTAGGGAATACAAATACTTCATCCTTGTCCTAGAAAATAAAATAATCCCACTTTGCTAACTTGCTTTTATATAAAGATAAAAATACAATGGCGACGAGAGTGTATATTGGCCGTCTTGCTAGAGACGCCCGTGAACGAGATGTTGAAAAACTGTTTCGCAATTATGGCACCATCAGAGAAATAAAACTGATGAATGGTTTTGGTTTCGTTGAATTTAGAGACCACCGTGATGCTGATGATGTCGTCTATGCTTTTAACGGTAAAAGTTTTATGGGAGAAAAGTAAGTATAAAGTTTAAAAGAGATTTCGAATTTCTCTTTTCTATCGGAAAAATTGACGGCTATTAAACAGCATAGTTTTTCCTGGCAACTAGCCAAATTACACTTTAGAGTATTTTAACAATACGATTTCATTTTGAATTTTTCATAAATTTTGATTTACATATAGATTGATTGTTGAATATGCTAGAGGAGAACGTAGGCGTCGTGATCGTGATGACCGTAGAGACAGAGACAGAGATGATCGCCGAGATAGAGACAGAGATAGGGATGATCGCCGCCGCGACGACCGGGACCGCGACCGTGGCAGGTATATCGCAAACATTTTGGAATATCTTGATTGTTCATAAACTTTTTGCCATTAACACTCATGTAAATTTATGATTGTTTTTCAATAGTCGTTTCGCACCTCCCCAACGAAACCCTCAATATCGTTTGATTGTAGAGAATTTATCATCAAGTTGTAGCTGGCAGGTACGCACTTTTGTTCCAAAAATCTATAAATTTGCCGCCTGCAGCTTTAGCTACTTGGCTGGCCTACTGGTACCAATCTTTATTGCCCCGGTTTTCTACAAGATTGATATTGTATCGGCTTTGGTTGTAGCTCTCCTTTTCCCTATGGTTGCTTGATGTGGCCTTTGGATTCTGTCTACCATTTCGTTTAATGGCTACTCTTTTGAAAATCTGTTTGGATTATATATTACTGTACATTCCTCAAAAAAGTCTCAAATGGTACCAAAGCTTTTCGAAAAAAACTGCATGGGAAAAAAAGGACAGAAAACAAAGGGGGGTAAATCTGGAAACCGACCACCATTGACTTCCATGATTTGCTATACCCATCGAACTCATCTATCGGCTTTTAGAAATGAGCTAGACTAGACTGCATTTTTTGTTTCTTATGCCTGGAAGGAAGAGAGTAGAAGAGCCCATCTTAGTATCTTTTGATTGCCTCTCGTTCTGATTCTTTTGGGCCTATTATTTGGATTACCATATACTTCTATTCTTGGGATCTACCGGCTCTTGTTCCTTCCATTGGCATTGGTACTTGGCATATGGAAATTACACAAGAGCCCATGAGGATAGTTGAAGCATATCGTCCGTTTACCATAACTCAATCAAAACCTCCTTCCCCTACTCCTCTCCCATTCTAAAAAAAAAAGGATTTGAAGGACCTAATGCGAAAAGCTGGTGAAGTAACGTTTGCCGATTGTCATAAAGACCGCGATGGGGAAGGGTATATTTTCAGTTCATATAATTTTGTTTTTTAAAACATATATGTGGCTTTTCATAAATGACTAAACGTTCATAATTTTTACATTTTTCAATTTGTAACGTTAGTGTGGTTGAGTTTTCCTCATATGAAGATATGAAAAATGCTATCAGAAAACTTGACGATACTGAATTGAAGGGCAAACGAATTATTCTTCGAGAAGCTCCGGTAAATATAAATTGCTAAGTTTATTTAAAATCAATCTTTATGAAACTGACCGTTTTCAACACAGGATAACGATACTGATCATGATCGTGACCGTGATCGCCGTCGTCGCTCAAGATCTCGTTCCAGATCTCCCCGTCGTAGTTCTCGCCGATCTCCTTCACGCTCTCCACGCCGAAGCTCCCGCCGTTCTCGCTCAAGATCCAAGACACCACCTGCTAATGGAAAAGAACATAGCTCTCGTTCTCCTTCGCCTCGCCGTGGCCGTGAAGATTCTCGCAGTCCTAAAAGAAGCAGATCCAGAAGTGGTGAACGAAACGATGATGACAAGTAAGTCGCATTAAATTTCTCTAGAAATTCTTAATCAAAAAATTAATATATGTGTATATTTGTTTTACATCTAATCTGTAGGGATATGAAAGATGATTGAACGTATAATCATTTAAAGTATATTCGTGTAACTAAACAATATTGCGTTTTAATATACGTTGATTCTTTCGTGTATCAGATGATCAATTAAGTTTCTTATTTTTAACATCGTATTTGCTTTATTTGTCTCTATCAGTCTTGTTGTTTTGCTTTGTTTCATTCCCTAGGTTCTTCCTTTGCAATGAAAGTCTTGTTATTTTTATATAAAATCGTTCGAAATGGCAACTATTAAGCCATACTAAAACTTATACAGTATATCCGATGGATCTCGCAAAGTTTTTCTTATTTGTTCTATTTCTGATGATATAAACATGTTTAAAATGCTTGTGATATTACGTGTAGACCTTTAAGCAATTTGTTTCTTATGCAGTTTCTAAAATATTTGTACGATGTATCGATATAGAAAAACGGATATCAAATGATAGACTTTGAAATTAAGCCAAAGCTTTTAACTTGAACTCTAGAGCTTTTAAAAATAAAGTATTTGGTTATATTAATATATATCAGTCGTACTTCTTTATAATCACATTTATAATCACAAAATTTTGAAACAAATTATTAATAATCTTATTAAAAAATATATTTACAATATATATACAGTATGTTGCGAAAATAACCAGAATTAAAAATTGTGTAATTATGATACAGCAGTATCATTAAAATTAAATAAAA